GTACGACAGCGATATTCTCGGCCGATCGCCTTGGTCGACTTTTATATGGCCTCTTCGGATTACAAAGAGCCTTACCAGTCGAAAATTTTTCGTAAAAACGCTTAATGGTGTTCTTAGAAGGCGAACTTCTCACATTTTTTAATGTTTTAAAAGCACGTTGAGTTTTCATAATTGACTTCTTCTGTTGAATGTAAATTTCAACTATTTCAGAGCACTCGCGTGCCGTGTATTAGTTAACGGTAAAAATCTGCTTGGACTGACGCTTCAAACGCGGTATGTCATTAAGCGATGTGATATCTCTGTCAAAAGTTATGGCGTTGCCAGACGGGTCCGTCGAATATGGGCAACCCTGTATATTTTTATGCCCTACACCACATAGTGGTAAGGGTATTATGTCTGTGCATTTGTTTGTAACATGGAGAAGGAAGCGAGATAGACCCATAGTTACTTTTGAGAATCTCCATTGAATCACTTTCTGAGTCGATTTATGCATGTGAGTCCGTCCGTCCGTCCGTCCACCCGTCCATGTATTCTTGTGAACAAAATGCAGGTCGAATTTATTATCCGATTGAGATGAAATTTTGCACAATTTATTTGTTTGGCCCAAGGACGAACCCTATTGAAATTAGAGATAATCGGTCAAAATTTAGATATATCTGCCATACATATTTTCGTTCGATTTGCCTTTTATTTTGCACCAAACGTGTAATATCAGCCCGAATAGTATTGAATTTTGCACATACAACCAAATTAGACTGCAAATATGTATGCCAAATTTGATCGAAATCGGTTCAAATATAGCTATAGCTCCCATATATATTGTTCATCCGATTTGTTAATATTGTCCTCCGCAGCCGTAATATGCACTCTGTAACAACAATATTTGGGGAAATATATCAAATGCAGCTCAGAAATACCTTTGCTAAATTTTATCGAGATCGGTTCAGATTTGGATATAGCTCCCATATATAACTTCGTCCGATTTACCTTTTATTGTACACCAAACGTCTAACATTTACCCACATGAGATGGAATTTGGCACATACGACCGAATTGAGTCTAGAAGCTAGCATGCCAAATTTGGTGAAGATCGGTTCAGATATAGCTATAGCTCCCATATATATTGTTCATCCGATTTGTTGTATTTGTTACCCACAGCCATAATATGCACTCCGTAACAACGATACTCAGGGAAATATATCAAATACAGCTCAGAAATATCTTTGCCAAATTTTATCGAGCTCCCATATATATCTTTATCGAATTTCAAATTAATTTTGCACCAAATGGACAATACAAGACCGAATTTAAAAGATGCAAATGCTTCGGCACATTTAGTCCTGTGAACTTTAAATTAGTGATGTGATGTAGGGTGTCATAAAGTCGGCCCCGCCCGACTTTAAGACTTTCTTTATTGGTTTTTAATATAATTCTTCTCGAAGTGATATAATGCACTTTATACCAATGTTATTTGTTATACAAGATTAAAATGTCTCCGTCAAAATTAGTGAAAATCGATTCAGAATTGAATATGCTTCCACTATATCAGTTGCGTCTGAAACCAAATTATAACCCCTCTAAAGCCAAATGTTGATAGGTGGTATGATCTACTTCAAATGAATTCTTTTGTTACGGTCGCTCTACTAAATATGCATAGTGGTGTAGCGTATCTTATAGCCGAACTGGCCTGACTTTTGACTTTTTAAAAAAAATTGTAGTTTTGTGTCCAAAAAGTAAGAAATTATAGCAAGAATCTTAGCTGTTAACTTTCTGATTACAATTTTGTGAAAAAGAGTTTTAACAAATTTTCAAAAGAAAGCCCCCCTTTCCCAAGTTTAATGGAATACATTCCACATGATTCCATTTAAATCATCCCAAAAATATGCTTTAATTTTAAAGAGTTTTTTGCTTGAATTTTACAGTTCATTTTTTTTTGTCCAAACCTTTTTCAAACGTCATGCACATGCAACTAATATTGTATGCTTAACGCACAGTGGGTTGCAATTGTGTGTGATGCTCTTGTCATGGCATCAATGTTGAGACACAAATACCAAGGATGGCATGGGGTTGGCTGGCTGATAGGGTTTCTTTTTGCCATGTTTACATTTTTTCTTCGACGATGGATATTTCATGGCAAACACATCAGCAGCAACTAAACTAACTATGCCAGGCACTAGTCAAACGTATTTTGTTTTTCATTTCTTGTTTTTTTTTTTTCTTTTTTTCGAAAGAGCCCAACTCCCTAAAGGACCCTTACTATTCCAACAACCATGATAGATCGTGATGTAAGCTCTTGCAACAATAACCTACCATGGCTTCTGACATATTTTTCTTTAAACAACAAAGTGGATGGGTGGGTGTGTGTGTGTGTATGTGTTGAGAGGTGAGATGGGTCGGGTTGGGTGTCTGTGAAAAAAAAATTGGGAAATATTTTTGTATACGCTTGTTATTTTCTGGCAAACAAACAGCTCAGAAAACGAGCAGAAATAAAAACAGCATGCCGGCAGGAACGCTGTATCCTTACATGGGATGCTGAAAAATGTGTTCTCAAGTCTAAACTTAGGGACAGTCGATGCGTTTCCAAAACGTACATCATTTGTATATGCCGGACAGTTTTCGTTTAGGTTTTTTTTCATCGTCATCTTCCACAAAAATTCATAGAACAACATGAACTCCATTCAAACCATCCAACATTGTCTATATGTTGCCACTGCACAGAAGTGCATGACCTGATGGAGGGTTTTTTGCTGTTGTTGTTTCTACTACTGCTGTATACTTTTAAGCCTTTTGTTTGGCAGTTTTGCATGCAAGGAGGACAGCAGGAGCTAGGAATACCACCAACAGTATTAGAGACATCAGCAGGAATAACACAACAATGGATAGTCTGACTAAACTAATACTGACCACCAACACCACTATCTAGGCTGGACCAGCCCAAAAAGTGTGGCCCGGCCATACCATGTCAACATGTTGTGTTGCTGCTGCTACTGCTGTTCCTGTCATAAAGCTCAGTGGGTGGTGACATCGTCAAACATCATCAACAGCAACAGCATCAATGCCAGCAACAGCACACAAACAGAAAATCGACATGGATGCACACACACACATCCACGATGGCCTGCAATATAATGCCATGGCTTTAGTCTGCCGTCCATGTGTCATATCAATGTGTTGGTATGTGGCATGCTGTCGTTTTGATATTGAAGGCGGCTTAAGCCTTTGTAAAGTAAACAATGGTCAACGGGAAAAAATAACACAGGCTTTAAACTTCATCCTCCCCCTTTACTCTCCTCAACCAATGCCCCCTGTCCTACAATAAACCATTGTAGTTGTGTATAGAAACTTTTGCATGCATTTGAATTTATAAATACAAGTTTATAAACACACATACATATGCGTATATAAATACACATCAGAAAGGACAACAAAGAACAATGAACTGAAGTGTAGTTGAGCTGAGCTGAGATGAGGCAACTGTAAAATAGCCGTTCCCCCCAAAAAATCTGTAAGTATACCATGTTGTATGTTTGTGTAGTAATGTTTAGCTGGAAATCATGTTCTACCAAAGATATAGGGGTATTTAGAATATTTGATTTGGCAGCATACGAATCTGACATTTTAAACCGCATATTTTTGGCAGGGAATAAAGAACACAAAACAACAACAGCCACAAGTTTAAATGTTAGAAAGAATATCTATATTGTATAGGGTCTTATGAAATATTTTAGTGAAATTAAAGAAGCAGTGATAAAATGAGATGATTTTACCTTAAAAGGTTATTTTTGCGTAGATATAATCTTTGAAAGGCGCATTTTCTCGATACACGAATTTTGAAAGAGAATTAAGAATGTAACAGTCAATTTGAAATTCAAAAAAAGGTTACTCTCAAAATCTTTGTAGTTGGATATAATTGTCCATTTTTTGCACATGACTTGCGTTGTTGTTGTTAAGTTGTTCTATCATGTTACGATTCTTCATACGAAAAATGTTCAAAAATTTAATATGTCTTTAAGGAAAATACACTGGTCCACTGGTCTAGTGGCCCGCTGTCCACCGGTTTTTAGATCAGACACCTGGTGTTTGTATGATCGCGAACTGGATAAGTACTTTAAGGTTTTCCAAGTAGGGTAAATGTACCAGTAGTCGGCACTTTTAGAATTTTCGCTTTTTCAATCTTTCAATATTCTGAGTAAATCTTTCAATTGCAGAAAACTAAGTTGTTTGGATTCCAAATTTTGTTTAGTTTTGGAAATAATAAACAAAAATTTAATTTGTTTTTAGTAAATTGGTAAAATTTGCAATTTTACTAAAACAGTGGTTTTTTGCCAGTAGTCGGCACCATTTTCCAATGCTCGGCATGTCTATTTGCCAGTAGTCGGCATATTGTATTTCAATAAAGAAAATATTATTTTTTATATTATTTTTTATTTCAAATAGTACAAAACAATTATATATTACTAATTCACAGTTTAATCTAGAATTTGAAATAGTATGGTTACCTTTAGTAAATGGATTTTTAATTAAAATAAAAATGAGATAAAAGAAAAAAAGAATAAATTAATATTTGGAGTTTATTTTGTCTTTTAACCTAGTTACTGTTTTTAATTCATTTTGGTTTAACTTAAACTTAAACATTAGGAATAAAATAAGTTAATTCACAGGTGCATTGGTATCAGTCTTCCACATCACTGTCAAGTTCTTCGTTGAAAGAACTACGCTTTTCCCTTTTCTTTCCTCTTTTATTTTTTCTTATTTTTTCTAATTTCTCCAATTTTCGTTTCTGGCGTTCCAGTTTTCGCTCTTGTACTGCGTTTGCCTTGGCAATTTTTTCATTTTCTACTGCTTGAATATGCTCCCTCCATGCAAGTGCAGAAATTGCACTTGGAGGCTTGATTCTCGAGTTGGGTTTTACTGCTGATGTCAATCTAGGGAATTGAATATGGCTTTTTAAACGATTTTGACACAGACCCTTCTTCGTTTTGTAAAAACTTGGAAGAACCTAGTTAGAAAAAGAAAAAGTGTATACTGGCATTATACCTGGGCACTACAGAATATATGCACGTTTGTATAGATTACCTGGTTTGGATAAGTTAACGGGACTTAAAACATTTCTAATAAGTGCGCTAGTTACTGATGATTTAGGTGAATCTTTCGTTGGTTTTAACGACAATTCTACATTTCTGGATGTAGTGGGAGACGAACAAAAAGTCAATATCGGTGCATTATTTTCATTTAATGGAGATGAAGAGCGTAGCCGGGTTTCTTTTTCCAAAATCCAGTCTTTATTGACTATACATGAACTGGGCTGCACGGTTACGTTGGCTAATAATTCAATATCTTGTTCGCCTTCAGAGTTTTTCAGAGACTCAATCTCTTCAACAACTATGTTAGCGTCAATTCCCCGAGAATTAAGCCTTGAACTTATTAGGTTTATTACTTGAATTGCTTTGTCGAAGTCCATTAAATGTAAACCATTATTTGCATCGCTCCTATTTGTCATTCTTTCCAAATTGTTTCTTACACACTTTGTATAATCGACGTTCTCAGGGTTAAACGGATAAAGTCCACATTTCCGGAACCCATTCTTAATGGTGTCTTCCAAATCTATTGCTGACAGCACGGAATGCAACAGAGGACAAAAAGTGCATTTTGAAAGGACTTTGTTAATATTTTCCGTTTTATTTTGCCATTCCCTCAATGTATTTTTCCACTCAGATTTCAACGGCTTAAAAACACTGACGTCCGCTGGTTGCATTATATGTGTTGTATTGGGAGGAAGTGCGTACAATATAATTTTATTATTCTCACAGAATTCACTAAGTTCCATAGTCATATGAGACTTATGACCGTCGACAAATAGCAAAACTGGCCTAGGGACTTGATTTTCTTCTAACCATTTATGGACACAATTAGCAATGTATTCAAAGAACACGTCACTGATCATCCATCCGGTTTCCGATTTTCCGAGGAACCAGGTCTCCGGGAGACTGTTCACTACATCCTTGGGAACTCTTTTAAATGGAAAAACAACCATTGGATTAACAGTTTTACCATTAGCGGAAAAGACTAATAGTACTGTCACTGTTTCTTTTTCGTTTCCTTTTTGTATTGAATACACATTTCTGTAACCCTTTGGCGCTAAAACTTTTCCAGTTTTCGGGCACATAGAAAAACTGGTTTCATCCCCATTAAAAATCCTGGATGGATCCTCCAAGATATCTGTAGCATTCTGCTCTTCTAAAAACGTTTTTAAATCGGAAAACCATTTTCTTATAGTCTCCTCCGTTACTATGGCTCTCCCCTTTGTAATTCCCTCGGACTCCCGAATGCTTAAATCAGGATGTCGTCTTAAAAATGCGTTAAACCATTTTCTGCCAGGTCGACTGTCTTTAAAAGGAGTAACTCTTTTATCCTCATTTAAAATTTTTTGTACGGTGTTTAACAATTCGTCAATTTTTATCGGAAATCCACATTTGGCCAAATCTAGACACCACTTTTTTAAATGCTCTTCTTCGGCAGTTGTTAATATTGTAGGAGGTCCCATCTTTCTTGGGCCTTCAGGAGCTCTACCAGACAGTTTGTCCTGCAAAGTTGCCCTGGGAACACCATACTTTTTACTGGCACCCAAAATTGATATATCGCCTCTTCTTATGGCATTTAGTGCGTCGTTCAGGGCGTTTTCCGTATATTTGTGAAATGATCTTTTTCCTTTTGGAGGCATCTTTGAAAAAAAATGTTGGCTATCTGAAACGTCAAATAGCTTCTTTAAAAAACCTACTTAACTTAGAAAAGTTGGTCAAAAAACACAAATAAAAGCGACTGCCGACTTAAGGACCATAGTTATGTCGAATACTGTGTAAATCCACTCAAAAATATTTTTTTTATTTGAGTAGTTTTTGGATTATTTTTTAATACTTCTCTCAAATTTTGGTGAAATTTGTCAAAAATGATATTTTTCTAGTAATTGGCAACCCCTGCCGACTATTGGCAAATCTCTTTTTTTCCTGTCCCTAATGTCGGCATTAAAAAATATAACAGAAAAATGATTAATTTGTATTTTTTAAAGTTATAAAATGATCTTTAGACTGTTATTTACTATTATAAAATATTTCTGATTTCAAAAGTATTAATTTTAATATACTTACATAGATTATTAAGTTGACGCCACCACTAATTTTTTCTTTACAAACAGCACTATCGCACGTGTTGGAAGACACTCACTGACAAAAACCGTTATTCTCTCGTAATAAATGATCGATGCTCATTGTTTTTTTTTTTACAGAAAGAGAGCAGAGATCAGTGTTGATGTTTTTTGCAATTATTTCATTATTTGGTCACTTCTATTCTTAGTTATTTAAGTTTATATTTCAAAACTGCCGACTACTGGGACATGCCGAACTTAGGCGCACTTACCCTATTTTGGAATGGTTTTTCAAAGTTACTTGCTACTGAGATATAGGTATAAGGGGGGATTAAAGGATATTCAAGGTTATGATTGCAAGAGACCTTAATAGGATCTCAAGCAGCCTACAAGGATATTCAAAGCTACGCATGCAAAATGGTGTTCGTCCTTGGGCCCAACAAATTTTATCTCAGTCGGATAATAAATGCGACGTGCATTTTGTTCACAAAAATACATGGACAGACAGACGGACTGACGGAAGGACAAACATACATAAATCGACTCAGTATGTGATTTTATGAGGATCCTCAAAACTAACTATGGGTCTATCGCGTTTCTTTTTCATGTTACAAACAAATGCACAAAAGACATAGTACCCTCATCATAATATGGTGTAGGGTATAAAAATTTCGTTGAAAAATACTGCTTAAATCATAAAAATATCGAATATAGGGAATTACCGTTATATTAGGCGAAGACGTGGACCTGTATATGCAAATTTTGGTCATAGGATGTAGTACCGATTACGGAGTTAAAATTCCAAATTTGAAATATTACCGATGAAAAGTGTGACATAAACCATGAAATATCGTTTTTTGGAAGTTGAATGAGTTCTATGGGGACTATACAAAAACGTGTTCTTAAATATTCCATTTTCAGTACCAAAAAGTTAAGTCAGATGCTAAGTAGACCGTATTGGCCCACTATTTTGGTATTTTCTTCATAGAGGGTCAACATTTTGCATAATTATAATGCATGTCAAAATATACCCAACTAATGTAGGTTCAAGGTATGCATCTGTTGCAGACCGATTAATACTCTAAAACTTGTTATACCTCAGCTACCCAGGGTATATGTCATATGATACAGCCAAAGTGAGCCTCATTGAAATAACGGTTTTAGACCCTACGTCCTGTGGTGAAAATCCGTTTCCGAACATTTGGAGTTGATCTTGGGTATCAGTCCTGCCGTTTGTCCGCCTGGATGGTGAGCAAAAGTTGAAAATTTTGATTAACCAAAATGTTCATAAAATTCGAACAGAACGTTTTTTTCTCTAAAAAATTAGCACTTCTTTTAAAGCAAGATAGAAGATGGAACATTTAGGATATATTAGGATAAGCCGTTCCTTTTGAGTCAATCAGTCTTTGATTTTTTATAATTGTACCGCTAATTCGTCAGCGAAAAGTCCACCTTAAAATTTTAGATTAGTTCGTGTTAGTACTTTTTAAACCCCAAAATGTACAATTTGTTCAGTTTGACAATATTTTTTAAACAGAACTTTTTTACATCGTACTAAATTTTCAGAATTTCAAGGTGTTCTTTATTATTGACGTTTTTTCTCATTCGGAAAAAGTAATTAGAAAATGTTTACACCAAAAAGTCTTCATAATAGACCATTTAACCATTCAATTTATCTGTACAGAACTATTTAAACGTCGTCATATGTAAGCCCTTGAAACCTCCAGTTTCAGAATTTTCACTGTGTCCCTTCGTCCAATACACAATTTAGTCTTATTTAATACTTTTCGTACAATTATACAACATATTTGCAAAACTACCTCCATATCTCAATTTATATACCAAGAGAGTGCTCAGCATCAAATTACAGGATTCCAGCCTTTTTCCTTCATTAATACCATATTCCGTATTATTTTGTAATTTTCGTACAAATATAAGCCGCATTTCCAATCCACTATCATGTCTCAATAACAGATACCATCAATAATATAAATATCAAAGTTTAGTATTTCATCGTTTCAACCAATACCAAATATAGTACCATTCAGCACTTTTCGTACAATTATAAAACACATTTCCAAAACCACCTCAATATCTCAATTCCAGATACCAGCAGAGATCTCAGTATTAAATTTGATGATTCCAGCCCCATCCCTTCACCCTAACCAATACTAAATGGTACTACCACCTCCATATCTCGAACAGAAACCAACAGTGACTTCTATGTCAAATGTCAGAATTCTATCTTTATGCCTTCACCCAAAACCAAAAATATAGTACCATTCACTACTTTTGGTACAATTATAGTACACATTTCCAAACAACCTAAATATGTCAAGATTACACATGAACAGCTACCCTAATACCAATAATAATACCTTCATATATCAAACTTACTTTCCAATCTTAATTCTCATATAGAAATGCAAGTTTTTAGCTTTATCCGTTCACATTATACCAAATGGTATCATTTAAGAAGTTTAGTAACATTGTAGAACATATCCTTAATTTAAAGTTCGAATTGCCGATAAAACCTAAGGTGCATCTATCATGGACTCCATCAGTGACTCTCATTTACAATTTCAGAATCCACCTCTATCGGTTAATCTTAATTCCCATTTGCAATTTAGTTTCATATAGTACAGAAGAGTACGAATTTCCATAGCTTCCTACATACACCAATCCTACACTTCAACAGTAATCTTAATTCCAGCTATTTCGGTTCACCTAAATCCAAATGTAGTAAATTTTAGCACACACAAGTACAAATTTCCAAAACAACCTACGTACCTCTCTCCTATAACACAGTAGTGTTATTCCAAATTTCAGGATTCAGACTTTGTTGTCTCTCCCAAAATTTAAATTGTACCAAATTTAGTATCATTTAGAACACAGAAATTCGCATTTCCAACAATACCTAAATTCCTCTGTCCTAAAATGCAATAGTAATATTATTCCTAAACATCAGGATTCCAGCTCCATCCTTTACTTCAAAGTGCACTATAGGGTTGCCCATATTCGACGGACCCATGTTTTTTTTATGATCAAAGAAAAAAATAAAAATTTGGCGGTTGGCAATGTTAATCATTTAATTTGTTCCAAGTAGATTTGTTTACATCAATTTTTGAATATGATATTTCTCAAATGGCCGCCTCTGGCGTTGATGACGCATTGTGCCCTTTTTGCTGCATTGTTCATCGTTTTTGCCAACATTTCGACCAGAATAGCGACTATTTCTTCATGAATGTTGTCCTTGAGCTCTTCTACGGTCATTGGCTTGTTAACATAAACCTTTGACTTCAAATATCCCCACAAGAAGAAGTCGGGCGGCGTCAAATCGGTCGAACGCGGCCAGTCCAAATCACCACTTTTCGACATCAAACGGCCCGAAAACAAATTCTTCAGAAAATCGGTTGTTATGCGACTTGTGTGCGGTAGAGCGCCGTCGTGTTGAAACCAGAACTGCCTCAAACGTTTTCGACGAATAATTGGCATCACAAAATTGGTCATCATATCGCGATAACGCTCCTGATTGATGGTAACAGCATGGCCATTTTCATTTTGGAAGAAAAACGGCCCAATGACCGTTTTCGCACTAACGCCGCACAAAAACTGTGACTTTTTCGTCATGAAGAGGCACTTCCTGAGGATTTTCAATGACGTAAAAACGGCAATTTTGCTTTTCTAGGTTGCCATTCAATGTGAAATGGGCTTCATCGGACATGATAATTTTGTTCCAAAATTGCTCGTCATCTTCGGCCATTTCGATGACTCTTTGGGCCCATTCCAATCGACGAGGCTTGTCCGCAGGCAACATTCTATGCGTCAATTGAATTTTGTACGGGAACAAATGCAAATCAATGCGAATAATCCGTTGCAAAGCGGGCCGAACGATGCCCAACTGCTGAAAACGGCGTTTTTGGGATGTTCTTGGGAACCTCTTAACACTGGCTCTTACGGCAGTGATATTCTCGGCCGATCGCCTTGGTCGACTTTTATATGGCCTATTCGGATTTGATAGAGCCTTACCATTCGAAAATTTTTCGTATAAACGCCTAATGGTGTTCTTAGAAGGCGCACTTCTCACATTTTTTAATGTTTTAAAAGCACGTTGAGTTTTCACAATTGACTTCTTGTAAATTTCAACTATTTCAGAGCGCTCGCGTGGCGTGTATTGGTTCATGGTAAAAATCTGCTTGGACTGACGCTTCAAACGCGGTATGTCATTAAGCGATGCGACATCTCTGTCAAAAGTTATGGCGTTGCCAGATGGGTTCGTCGAATATGGGCAACCCTGTACATTTTGCACCGTTTAGTACTTTTCGTTTACATGAGTACACACTTCCGAAACTACATCGACTCTACTTCTTAACCTTGATTCCGATTCTAAATATCAAGGTATTAGCTCCACTCGTTCACATGATACAAAATAATACCAAATGCAGTACATTTTAGTACTTTTCGTAAAATTATAGTGCGACATTCCAAAAACCCTTTGGAACATCTATCATACACTCCACCAGTGACCCTCATTTCAAATTGAAAACTTTTAGCTTTACTGCTTCCTTATATACCAAGGGTATCATATTTAGTAACTTTTAATACTTTTCGTACCGTTCTAGTACGAATTTCCAAAAACCCAGCCTTATCTGACCCCTTCGGAAGAAGAGTGACCCCCACCCAAAATGTCAAGATTTCGTCTGGGCGTTGATGAATCGTTAAGTCAGTCAGTCAATAACATTACCCTTTTATTGATATAAATTTATATGGGCGTTATGATCGCATCTGAAATGCCATAAAGTTTGATGATCTCAATTGGTATCTTTAGTTCACCTTTACATCCTGCATTAAAAATTTTAATTTACATCACCTCTAGATTTTTCACTTTAAAGAAATTGATTTAATGATTCCCAGCAGTTGTTTGTTCTTCTTCGTTGTTTTTTGTGGGTTAATTACTTAAAACTTTATTACAGTTTTATGTGTGTTGTCTCAAAACTTTGTAGAATGATTTTTTGTGCAAAACACAAAACTCAAATCTCGTTTAGATAACAGCAAAAAGTTATTTGTGTACGTTTGTGTTTTTTTTTTTTCGAACAACTTTGGATTCCATAACAAGCTTACAGTTTTACCTAGAGACGCGGAA